TGGAACTTTCAGAAACTTTCAGATATCACAAATACTGATTTTAGCTGGTGTAGCCAGATATCTGAAAAAAAAATCTGTTAAAAATAACACAAACTAGCTATGAACTTAGAGATGGAAAAATGTAATGTGCTTTTAGTACAAATCCGAGGAATTCCATTTCTTCCACCTGGAACACAGAGTTACACCCTTTAAAGTCCGTTGAAGTCAACAGGCCTCAGAAGCTGTAAGTCTTCCCAAGATTGCATTGCTGTTGAGTATAGGGTTGCCAATTCCCAGCTGGGGGCAGGGGATCCCCTGGTTTGGAGCCTCTCCCCCTGCTTCGGGCTATCAGAAAGGGGGAGGACAGCTGCTGGGCACTCCATTATACCCTATGGAGACTGGTCCCCATAGGGTATGATGGAGAATTTTTCCATGGGTATCTGGGGCTCCCAGGAGCTGTGGTGGCTCAGTGGTTAAGACGCTGAACTGCAGACTGGAAGCTCAGTAGTTCAACAGTTCGAGACTTGAGTGCTGCATGACAAAGTGAGCTCCCGTCTCTGGTTCCAGCTCCTGCCAATCTAGCAGTTCAAAAGCAAGAAATTGCAAGTAGATATATAGGGACCACTTCAGTGGGAAGGTAACAGTGTTCCGTGCACCTCGCTGTGTAGTCATGCCGGCCACATGATCACGGAAATGTCTTTGGACAGCACTGGCCCTTTGGCTTGGAAACGGAGATGAGCACCGCAACCCTAGAGTTGGATTCAACTGGCTTTCGAGCAAGGGAAACCTTTATCTTTACCAGGGGCTCAGGGGGGGCTGTTTTTTGAGGTAGAGGCATAGCTGCTGGTGCCTCCCCTAACCCCTCCCCCAAGTTTGAAAAAGATTGGACCAGGGCCCCCCAAAAGAAGGTTCCCCCATCCTCCATTATTTCCAAAGGAGGGAACGCATTTTAAAGGAACACCATCCCCTTAAATGTGATGGCAGCTCACCCTCTCACTTCAGAGTTCCCTCTCCTGGAGCCTCCTTCCCTTCTCCGGGAGCCTCCTGGTAACCCCCCACCCGCTTGTCGGCCTCACCTGGCAACCCTAGGTGAGTATATGCAGGTTTTATAAAAGCAGGAGGGTTAGGGGGCCACAATTCCCAGGGCTGGGGTTTCTCAGGGGGGGCTAAGAAACCAGTCTGTCCACATGCCCCATCTTGTTTTAATACAAGAGCAAGGAAGAAGTGAAGTTTATATCTTGAGACTAAAAGAATCCAAACCCACCCATTTTAACCCTTCGCTTGACTTGAAACCTTTTAGCAAGTGTACTCCTGCACAAGGTTGGTCAAGGCAATAAGGGACCACTTGTTATATTTTCCAGTTAAGTAAAGAGTTAAAGTGAAAATCTGAATTTTGAGAAAAGGTTTTACTTGTTCTGCCACATTAAGCAGCAGGTGTGTGTCTCTCTTTCTCTGACTAGCCATGTTCAGATGAAGTAATGAATTAGGAGAAGTAAATTCCACTGAGTTCAGTGGGGTTTGTTTCACTTTCCTCATTGTTACCATACCCCATTCTCCTCTATGTTCATTTTTTAAAATCTAAATTAATCAGGGGATGACTAGTGGGTTTAAAAAAAAAATCTAGGGCTCCACAGTGATTATCAGCATCCCAGCATGTATGAACAAGCAAACAGATGTTTTAGTGAGTCCTTTTCTTCATATTTGCAATTGAAAATTACTATTTTTAAATAATTTCCCAATTTCCCAGGTAGCTATATTTACATAATTTCCCAACATATAGCAAACAAAAAAATGAGTTAATGCTCTCAAATGTTATGAAAACCTGTGAAGATATGGAGTTTTAATGTAATTCATAATTTTGTGAAGTTTTTTTAATGTAATGTAAGCCCAATTTTTAAAATAAGAATTTTAAAGGACATACACATCTACACTACCTTGAATATTATGTGAAACTTTAGATGCTAAATTATAAAACAGAATTAATATTAGTTCTGGACTTCCTTTTCCTATTTTTAAAAGATCTGCTAAGACATACGTTATTAATTTGTTAATTATACTTTAGAGAGGGACCTGATTGGACTTTAGACAACCTTACCTGGAGAGAAGTAAAAGGTATTCTACAGTAAAACAAAATGGCTGCATTGTGGGATACAGAGGCATTCTGTTGTTTCCAGAGGATGGCCTCCATGACTATTACTTGGCTTCATTCAGTGGGCTGTTGTTTTATAAATCCCACTCCTATAAGCATGTTGACTTTCAGTATGCATTTCTCAATGACAAAGGTCATGTATTATTAGGAAAAATAATAGTTAAAACACAGACCTTTCATAAAAGTGGCAGAATGTCATAAAAATGCGCTGGTCACAAGCTGATCTCCAAACCATATAAAGCAGAGTACAAATTAATGCATAGGGTTGCCAACCACAAGGTGGAGCCTAGAGTTCTCCCTGAATAACGAGTGATCTCTAGACTACAGAAATCGGTTCCCCTGGCGAAGTGACCGCTTCGGAGGGCAAACTCGATGGCTTCACATCTCTGCTAAACTCCCTCCCCTCCCAAAACTCTGTCCTTCCCAGGCTCCAGGCTCAATTCTCCAGGAATTTCCGATTTAGGAGCTGGTAATCCTGGATGACTGAAATCTAAGCATTCTTCTTCACTAGTTTGCAAAAGTAACGAATCTGTTTTCCCAAATTAAGGAGTAGTTTTCTTGTGTCTCACCTTCTTCTAGAAAATTCCTATGGGGCAGCTGAGTTAGTCTGTTGCACCAAGAACAAGGAGGTCTTGTGGTGCCTTGAAGACCAACCAATTTTCATAGCGTGTGGTTTCACTTCACCAAATGCATCTGATCATAACTGATGTTTCACTTCATGCACCTGAAAACGTAAACTTATGAAAGCTTATGCTACTAAATGTGTTGGTAGATGAGGTGCTACTCAGTGGAAATAGTATGTTATGGTTCGTAAATAAACTTTATAATTTCTATTTTATTAAATATGAATAATATAAATTGTTCATTTTAGGTTTCAAAAAAAGCCTGTAAAGAATTATTGAAAGGGCATAATTCAGTGAGATATTGATTATGTGTTAATAGCTTTCCCCGTATTTATAAAAGGATAGGCCATTTGTGTGTTAGAGACCACTGAAAAAGACTGTTCAGTTGAAACGTACTTAGTTTGGAGAGCCAGTTTGGAGTAGTGGTTAAGTGCGCGGACTCTAATCTGGGAGAACCAGGTTTGATTCCCCACTCCTCCATTTGCACCTGGCTGGATGACCTTGGGCAAGCCATAGTTCTGTCAGAGCTGTTCTTGAAAAAGAGCAGTTTCTATCAAGAGCTCTCTCAGCCCCACCTACCTCACAGGGTGTCTGTTGTGGGGAGGGGAAGGGAAAGGAGTTTGTAAGCCACTCTGAGACACCTTTGGGTAGTGAAGGGCGGGGTATAAATCCAATCTCTTCTTCTTCTTCTTCTAGTTCTTTTCCTTAAAATGTTTTTTGTGAATGCTTTACTACTTACAATCATTTTGTGCATATATTAAACTCTGGTTGTTTTATCTACACTACATGGGCTCCTGGAATAGGCTTCCTACTAGTTGATGCACTACAAGATGCTTCTTTTGATTGTTCTGCCAGGCAGAGTCCACAATGGAACAAAGAAGCCATAAGAAACCCCAAACAGAAAATCACTGAACACCTTTCTTCCCATAGGGAAACAAGATTTGTCCCATGCTTCTTTGTGCTTAAGCAGTCTGTGTAATCATTACCCCGGCTGTAAAAGAAACACCACAGTTGTTATGTCAGTGGCCTGGCCTTCAAGGAAAGGCAAACTATTCCCCACTGTAGAATAAGAAATAAAGGAGAAATCAATACAGAGGTGCCATTCATCATACAGAAAACACAATTCACAAGATATACTACAAAAATAATGCCACATAAAACCAACTGTAATGCAACATTTGCATAGAAAAGTAATAAATACGAATAACTTTGTCTGCAGTAATAAAGATTTAAAAAAACACAAAAGTTATTGACAAAACTACTGAAGCCCAGTTCTCAAGTTGCTTTTTAAACACTGTAACATAGACATGAGTTGGACATTTACAAACCATGGGTCCTAAAGAACTTGTTGCACACAAGGAATCTCAGAGTGTGGTTAATCTAATCAAGTGGGTACAAACTCAGAAGAAATAGTAACTATGCAAAAGTGACATGACTCACATCATAGTTATTTTATCCTGCAGAAATTAACTTGAGCACTGGGTCTGGATTAAACTGAATGGTGCAAGGCATAGAGTGAAAAAATTAAATGTTAAAAGATAACTGAATTACAGCTTTAATTCCACTTTATCTCTTAACCTACAAAAATAGGCAGAAACAACATATAACTTCATAAAACCATACACTTATGGAAGATACTTCAGTATAATCTAATAATAAATAAGTAGAAACTGGAATGATGAAAGAAATACAGCTGGTATAGAGTTGCTTTGAACAAAACACTCTGCATTTGTTATACTGTAGTTATAAATAATTTTTAAATAAAATTTGCTATTTTTCCCTATCAAGTTGATGGTGCTATTCCATGTGCCTCTGTCCACCCAAACCACATCACACCTATGCATGCACCAGCCAAACAGTTAACTCTTTCAGCGCAGGCTACATGCTATTCTCACCACACAGCAAATTTTCCTACCCTTCTAAAGAGTTGTAGTTGAACAACGAAACTCAGTGTGTTCCCAAATCACAAGGTGAACACTGGTAAGGTGGGAAACTCACCCATCTCATAAGAGTAACACGTAGCCCAGTCTTCAGTCAGAAAAACCAGCTTAATAGCTGCAGCTGTACAGAACTGTCGAGATTTTGCATTCAACCATATCTGCCACAATTTTCCTTTGGTTTCGTCCTCAGTTGGCTTCTATGTATTTAAATCTCATTTTAACAAAAATCTAAGTGCTGTACAAAACTCTCGTTAGTCCAGTAAAGGTCCTTTAAAAATTCAGATTCTGACCCTCTCTTCTGGAACCAGCCTAGTTAAACATGATGGATTCAGGGTCTTGATTTGCCATTTGAGCCATATGTCTTAACACATCCTTTTTTGTTATGATGCCCAGAAGCCTCCTAGAGAAAAAGAAAATGGGAAGAAATGGAAAGGTCATTGGTCATGAGTTTGTCATCCAGTTTTCAAGTTTCTGCTTGAGGCATCTTCTCTAAGAACTTGCTAAACAGACCACAGTTATTTTAAAAAATACTTTCCCCCTTCTCTAAAAAGCAAGACAAAGGCTCTTTAGAAAGGCCACAGTTTCTACTCATGAATATATAGGTTACTGTTGAAAATTTACCACTCTGAAGGCTATACTACCGTTATTATTACAAATACCGTTTTTTCATTATGTTTTTCATCCTTTGGCAAAATGATAAATCTGCTAAATTCCCTCAAGATGCATTCCTGAATGCACTAAGTTGTTGGACAGGCAAGAACATGTCCTCATATGACATCCTCTCGCAGAATACATTTGCAAGAAGAATTTGGGAATTCCAGGCCAAAACAGACTCAGCACAATCCAGGCCAGAGTGTATGGCAAGCCAGTGTCTCATAGTCCAAAGTATCAGGAATGACTTACGGAGATAGACCTATTAGATGTGACCTGATTATGAATAGGGCCATCTTCAAAAGATTTCTCATACACAACTGCTCAAACGCAAATTATATACCCGCAGGTGAGAACCCCTAAACTACAAAGGACAGGAACTCTCAAGGACTCTTCCACTCTAGCACTTCTATACAAACATTCTTTACACCGCTATATTTTTCCCCTGAGTGTTATTATAAACAATGGTTGAAATGATTAATGATGAAATTCATTAATGATTAAATCCAAACAGCTTGTTATGTTAACAAAACTGTAAATCAAAAGCTCATTTGTGTATCCTAAGTCACATAAATGCACTCTGTCTGCAAAAGCATGTGAATAATCTATGACAATTTATAGTAGCTACGGTTACAAATATTGCCACTTTATGTTATTTGTCAAACCACAAGAACAAAATAATCTATTTTTAAAGCAATGAGACCTGTAAGTCCTCAAAATAATGAGTAAATCCTGTCTAATTTTTTAAAAAATGTAAAGAGGGGAGGTAGATTTCAGACCCAGCATCTGCATTGGTTTAGGTGGGACAGAAGCTGAGGTTCACCCCTGCTGTGAAATAATTGTATTTCTTTTCTCAACCTTTCCTTACCTTTAAGGCCCTTAACAGTCAGGGACCTACGTACCTTCAGGACCACCTCTCCCCGTATGTCCTCAGAAGAGCACTGTGCTCAGGAAATAAGAACTTCTTAGTGGTCCCCAGCCCAAGAGAAATCCGGCTGTCCTGAACCAGGGCTTTTTCAGCCCTGGCCCCTCCTTGGTGGAACTCTGCCGGAAGACATCTTTGCCCTGCAGGAGTTATTAACTTTCCACAGGGCATGTAAGGCAGAGATGTTCCACCAGGCATTTGGTTGAGGACAGTGATGGGGGGTGACACATCTGGCACTCTCATCTACTCCCCCATCCCTTGCAACCCCTCCCCAAAAGGAGGTTAGGGGAGCTGATTTTCCATCATCTGATATATGTTTTGTTTTAATCCATCTGTTTTTAATGGTTTTAATGCTGTTTAATTGTTATTATTGTTTAATTGTTATTATTCCATTGTAAGCTGCTCTGAGCCCTACTTGTAGGGAAGGGCGGCCTAGCGAGTTTAACTTAATAAAAATAAATAAATAAATAAATAAATAAAACTTGCAAACTTCAGACCACAGTAAAGGGGAACAATGTCAACTTTATTACGTAATGGTGATGCATTATTTGAGAAAGCGGGCATCTGCTAAACTTTCACCAAGGAGGCAAGTGACAATTTGCACACTCTAATCACACACACACCCTTCTCTTTCCATTTTGGTCTGAAGCAACAGAACAAGGTTAGAGTCCAGTGGCACCTGTAAGACCAAAAAAGTTTTATTAAAGGTGTGAGCTTTCGTGTGTCTGACAAAGTGTGCGTGCACATGAAAGCTTACACCTTGAATAAAACTTTGTTGATCTTAAAGGTGCCCCACTGGACTCTAACTTTGATCCCTCTCTTTCTTAACAGCAAATCAGAGGACATCAAGAAGAATTCTTTTGGAATTTACACATGTCACAGATTCAACAGGAAAAGGTTTTGAAAGCCTTGTACTGAACAGGGTGATAGGAAAGTATGGATTGTTAGTGTCTAATATCCGTGGCTCGAGAAAGGAGTGTAAGACATTGATCGGGGGGGGGGGAATCTTCAGGCATTTTTTCTACATTGTTCTCCTCACAACTGGATTATTATTTTGGTTCATGCCACAGATAGTCCAGACTAGGCAAAATAATTTTTGGACTATTACTTCCCACTTAGCCTGGCGCAACAAAATGCTGGGAAGTGGCCTTACAGGATTTGCCACAGCTGACCCTGAATCCTATCTCAGATATGTTGGTGTGCTCACCTAGATTCTGTCAAATCTTTTTTCCTGCAGTTGCCACAATTACTTGCTGCATTAAGGAGCTTACTCATGGCATACATCTCCATCATAATGTCCCAGGAAAAAATATGCTTAACCTTCTTTGTTCCCAGTTAGGGCACTCAAGTTGGCAAACAGTTAAAAGAAGATAATACAAATCAATTTTTAAAACAGTGCATATGCATAAAACCAACAATTGACAATTACAGTTGTGGTATTTGTTGGAGGATTAAATCCATTGAATCAAAGATGTATCTCTTTGTTTTAAAAACTGAGTATGCCTTTCTCAATATTAAAAGAAGGTTTTTTCTTGCATTAGTTAAGTTATGGCTCCTTTGATTCATTGTTGATCAATAAAATTAAGTTCCCTTCTTTCGGCTGGATGGTTCCAAATGAAAATCTTCAGCATGTTGGGATTGTTCAGCTTCTTAAGCGTCTTGGACAGACGTGAATTGGCCTTCTCACTTCCAATGGTGAGAGCAGAGAAACTTTTCTGCAGATCCTGAGACAGCTTCTCCAGAACAACATTGGTATTGCTTTTACACAAATGATGCCAATTTTATTGAATAGCGCTCCAAATAAAATCCTGAAATTTCTTCTCTCTGCTGGTTTTATACAAAGTCATAAATGTTAACTAAGGAAGCAAATTTTTGTATGATTTTTCTTTACCAGAGTAAGCAAATTGAAATGGAAAGGGACTCCATTTATTAGAGAAAATAATTTATTAAGAAAGGGGCCCAATGGAAGGTGTGTGGTTAAAGGAGGGGCCCAATGGAAGGTGTGTGGTTAAAGGAGAAAGAGGTCTTACCAAAGGGAAAAGGGGGCTTTGATGTACTCTGTCACCCAAGGCCCAAAACCTGGAACCAGCCCTGACATAGATACGGTAGTCTAATTAAACATATAGCATTTGGGTTGCACCATAAATTTGTTAACACCTTTCTTCACTTACTAGAACCCATTTGAATCAAATTATTTTTCCAAATTTTAATGGCTGATTGCTATTCTTAAACTGGGTTTTCTAGAATATTCAGAAAACATGTTATAATTGGGTTCCAAATTAAATACACTCTAGAGCAAATGCATTTATAATTACAGTGCAGTTTATGTATGTATGTGTGACATCTATTTAAAACTAACCCCTGGCTTCCTCACTGATCTAATAAACAGACAGAATCTGGGTGATGGACAGCCAGAGAGTGTCCTTAATGTCAGAAAAGTACACACTATTGAATTTAAAGATCACTTCCTATTTAATACCATCCAGTTCAACTGTGAAATGAGCACCCAAAGCACCCAAGCTTGAAAATGTCCTTCATAACATGGAACATCAGTGGCTCCATCACTGAACCTTTGCCTACACTGCTGCTTCAGACTGTTTAGAATCTAATTTGAGCTACTGAGGGACATATTCTGCATTACTCACAAGGTCACTGTTTCACTTGGGTTGGCTTCTGACTTGTATTTTGAATTCTTGCAGACTCCGAAGTCATATGCACTTTTTTATTTCCGAAAAAAAAGTGTGATTATTCTCTTCATGAGTCATTTACTTCAGGATTTCTCAAAAACACTTTTAGGCTCATTTAAGTCTGGCTAGAAGCTCAAAACAAAAGCAAAACATTTGCTAACAATGACATTGTGTTGGCGCTCTTCCCAAGCTGCAAAATACCAGCTTCTCTACTAGATTAAAGTTTAATTAACATGTATTTGGCAACCACGTTACCTTCAGTTTAATTCTGTGCATTGTGAACACTGCTGTCAAGATGATAAAGAACAAGGATGTGCATGCACGGTCATGAGCTTTAACGGGAAAACATTTCAAAGGCTCTAGTGAATTTGTCAGTCCCAGTTCAAATGTTTGGTAGAGTTCCTTCCACAATAGAGAAGGTAGTGGTACTTCCTGTCATGTACTTCAAAGAATCTCTGGGCAGGGACTTCAAAACTAGCACTGCTTAGGTAATTTTAGGACTTAACAATCTTATGCCCACCCCTGCCATAGTAATGCATACTTTAAATGAGAACCACAAAATGAATATTCAAGCAAACTTGTCTCATCCCATCTTACCATCTCCACTGATAGTGACACATAGTGTAACCTGATTCTGTGCATATTTGCTCAGAAGTCCTTTGTGTTCAATATGGCTTGCTAGCTACAGCCTGCTGAGACCATGAGTCAGGGCCCCAGACCCTCAGAGCAGTAGTGGAAAACAGGAGCTGATTCCCTGCCCCCACTGGGGTTTGGCAGGCTTTGGTTTAGGAGCTGAGAATCCAGTTTACAGTTCTTTGATGGATGGAAGGAATGCCTTGTTGTGTAGCTTAGTGCAGGCAAGGAAATGACAGAGGCAGAATTCTTAGCACAAGGTTTTATTCTTCTGTCTTTCTTGCAGCCCCTGCTCTACATTTTCCTCCATCTTTCTTTCTCCCTCCTACTCTGTACTTTTCAGTATCAAAGAGTCTAGTCTGTCCAGCAACTGATTACAGTCTCCCTAATGGGACAAATTTCTAAATATCAACAACAAAATAAGCTGTGGTTATTGAAACACAACAAACCTGCACACTGATCCACCCCATTAGGGCCACAAACACTATAAGGAGCATCGTTTAA